CACCATCCTCACGCCATGCCTGCCCCCGACCTGTGCCGGGCCCAGCAGGCACATCTGTCTGGTTCCCTGGACCTGAGCCTGAACCTGTGACCCACCTGGTAGCCACTACCCCACACCCCCACTCCTACCTTCCACTGCACCCTTCTTCCTCCGGTCTTTAGATGCACAGGCCAATTCTCATCCCACTGCCTGAGCGCCTCCCTCAGTCAGACGAGGGCAAACTAAAAAACCAAAAGAACAGAAAAGCCTGTATAGAGAAGGCCCTGATGGAGCTGGCCCAAGCAGAAAGAAAATGACAGGCATTCTAAGTGTCAACATGCTCCCTGTGTATGGGCAAGAGGTGGGAGTGAGGCTGGAGGGACACAAACGCAGGACTGCCCTTGGGTTATTTTCTGGGGGGCTCCGCGCTGCTTGCCCACCTAAAGGAATTTCCCAACCCTAGGCTTGCTGAGGGCAGGGCACCGCCCTCCTCTGCCCGGGGCCCCAGAGGACTGGCCCTTGGGCAGCCAATCGATCTATGGGGAGCCTGTCTACAGGCCAGTCGGTAACTTAGGACCTGTAGCATCTGCTTGATAAGATGGGCTGAGCCAACCATTTCCTTTCTCAGGAAGTCAGCATGGAAGCTAAGATATTGGGACAGTTGGCTGCGGGCCGGAAAGGCGGTGAGGCGCACGTGTGGCTGATAATGGAGTGGAGACTGGGAACCTGGGGGACGGAAGGGCGAGATCTGGGCCGATGCAAAAAGAGATGGAGAGATGGCCTGTGACAGATCACGTGGCTGTCCCACCACTGTCCCCATCCCCATGAGAACCATTCGACCTGGAACCCTGGGTCCCCGAGCCAACCCTATTGCACTTACAGTCGTTCATCAAACACGCTTGGACCTTCCTTTACTTCCGCTCCTGCGGGTAAGTTTTATTCCTACATAAATTATTTAAAACCAGAGAAAAGGGAGCACTCAGAGCTAATCTCATATTCCACATTTGTGGAAACTGAGGACCACAGCAGTTAAGACCCTTTCCCAGGTCACCCAGTGACACCCCAGGGTCCCAATCTTGACCCTCACGGTGATGACTTTGGAGTTACAGAGCTCCAGAGGGCAACACAGGCTCCCATCTTTAAGCTAAACACAATCATTGTGTTTCTAAATATATCCCCACGGAAAGACCTGAAAAATCTCTTAGCATCTCATTAGCATTTCAAGGGTACATGAAGCCCTATCTGTAAAAAAGTAAGAAGATTTCAGTCTGTAAATGCAAGCGGCTGAATACCACGGCCCAGCTCCATCTGGGTCTTACCTGAAAGCGCACTAATAGTCAAAGCCCAGCTGCTGACCTTCGCTGCCAAGAGCAATTGCAAAAGAAGACAATAGATTTGCCGCGTCCCAGAGCAATTTTGTTTTAGCTTTATCGCTTGGCCCGAGGAGTCGGTATGTGTAAGTGTTGATTCCATTTGGTTCCCTGGTTGAAACAGAAGATGGAAAAATTGAACATATTTATGAAATCTAAGTCTGCGTCTATCAATGCCCACATCCTAATATTTTTGGTTTAATTTTTCAGTTAATAATAATAGCTAACATTTATTGTGTGCTTACGACGCACAAGGCACTTCTAACTAATAATTCATGTTTAATCGTCACGGTAACCCTCTGAGACAAGTATGTTATTATAGAAACTATAATAATTACTATACAGGGACCTCCCAGGAACTTGCCGAAGACTCCCAGCCAGGAAGTGGCAACGCTGGCTCTGCACCTCGGAGGGCCACTTTTCTCAACCTTTGAGCTGGCTCACCCCAGGGACGGTTAGCTAAGGAAACAGATGATTGCTTGTTTGTTTGAGGTGCAGACAGGGGAGATAATTCAGGAATTTGTAATTGCTCATCCCTGCTGGGGGATATTAGCTAGACATTAGCGGTGACACGTGAATCATGACACTTGTTTCCGGCTGAGTTATTATAATGGTGCTCACCAGCTTGCCGGCTTGGTTTAGAAAATGCTGCAGAAAGGATGGTCCTCGCGGCTCCCAGTTGGTCCCCGCTATCTACAGCTCAGCCAGGCACCCAGCCCCTCTGCCCACACGCGCACTGTGGTTGTCGGGCAGTCCCTGGCTTCAGTCCTACATCTGTGGGGTGAGCTGAGGCCTGGGATATTTTTAGGGATGGTGATGGATTACGATGACCCATGCACTCTTCTGCAAACACTGAACTGCTGATCTTTGGGGGGCACAGGCAGATGTCAGCGAGCATTGATGAAATGCATCCTCAGGGTCCCCAGGGTCCCCTCTGTAATCTTTGCCCTGGACACAGCCCCAGGGGCAGCAACTGACCTCTGGGAGCCTCTCACTTGTCCCTGTTCTTGCGGCCCCAGGGGAGACCGGGGCCACACATCGAAGGGCCGCCCTGGCCGGAGCTGAGCACATTCCTAGCGAGGTCCTGGGGTTCCGTGGGCAGGGAGGAAAGGCCTGCTGTGGCGCTGCCCCTCCCTGCTGGGCAAGTCAGTGCCCCACTCTGCTTCAGCTTCCTTATCTGTCAAAAAGAAAGGGCGGGGCGACTTGGGGGAGGAGGATGGGGTTCAGCGGTGACTCAGTGAGGGCCTGGTGACTCCCGAAAGGGCGGGGTGACTTGGGGGAGGAGGATGGGGTTCAGCGGTGACTCCCGACGTGCAAGGCAAGACCAGCCTTATCTCCTGGCAACTCCTCCTCCAATATTCCCACCCCGCATCTGGGGATACACAGGCCATCTCTTTCATCATGAAATCTGAAGTGACAACTTCATTCTTATGCTGAAAAATATAGAAGTATATTTTATATACTATATAAAAATATAGAAGTATAAAAAAAAATCCCCGCTCCCCACACATCCCTCCCTTTTCTGTGTTCCAGCCAGAGAGGGTCTCCTTCCTCTCCAAACACCCCTACCCTTCCCTGCCCTTTCCATGTCATTCCCTCCTACACGCTCAGAGTGTCCGCTCCTCCAGACAGATGCTCACCAAAGAGACAGAGGGGGAAAAAGTGGAGGAGACAGTGCCACGACCAGTGCTGCGGGCACGGGCACGGGCAGGGAGGCAGCGAACGGGCCTACCAGGCTCTCCACCCAGTGTTTTTATTCCTGTTTACATTGCCGTGCTATATAGAATTTCAATCCTTTTCTTAAAAATTCACATTTTTATCCTTTTTGGGAACACGTGTTAAAAATACGCCACACGTATCTGGTGTGAATGAGGTCTCTGAGTGGTGACAGGGGACTCCTGGGGTGCTGGGGTGCTCCGCGAGGCCCAGGGCGCCTGTGGTTCCTGTGTCCGCATTTCCTGGGCCCAGGGAGGCCCCGCCTGTGCGACCCTTTGCACAGCCCACTTGGTGCCTCACACATGTGGCAGGAATGGCTCCCTGGGACAAATGCCACAGGAAAGAGGCAGAAAAAGACGGGATGACTTCTCAAGGGTGAGAGCCACCGCGGGGTTTTCCTGTCGTAGGGTCCCAGCTCCAAATGAAATATGTGAAAGTACCACCTCTAGAAACTACAGAAACAGAAACAGATGGCTTCCCCTTGGTTTCTCAGACATCCAAGGACCTGATGGTCCCCAGTGCTGCCACTCTGTCCTCTCACTGCTCCTCCCTCCTGTCCCCCCAACCTCCGCTCTCCTCCGGTGCCCTCCTCTGCTCCCTGGCCCCTCCCCACCCTGTGGTCCCCATCTCTGCCCTCAGCTAGCCCTGCCCGCCCATTGCACTCCCTCGCCGTTTCCCCCACCACTCCTCACTTCCTTGGCCCCCTCCCCACCTTTCCCCACTGTTCCTGCCTCCATGCCACCCCCACCCACCACCATCCAGTATGTTTCTCCTTTAACACACTGATTAACAGTTAAACTGTACAACGTGCACGAATAAGTCTGTGTGATCATTTTTACCTGTAGGCATGGAGCTCACGGCGAAATCTGGGTTAAGTCCAGGCCAAAACGCACGCAGCCCCTGCGGAGGTGGGGGCTCCGGGGCTGGGCTCTGGCTGGCTGGGGGCGCACTGCCACCAGCACCGACCTCGGGTCCACAGCGGGGGCTGTGGGTCAGGACTTGAGTTCCTTCCTCACCTAAAGGGACAGAGTATCCATGGCTCCCCCTCCGCAGTCCTAGAGTTGAAAATCATGGCTTCCCTTCCCTCCGCCAAGGCTGAGCTGCTCATGCCCTGCCTGAGACCCCCACCACCCCAAGCGGGACCCTCAGGAGGGCCAAGTGCCCTGTGCCTGCCCGCAAAGAGTGGACGTAAACGGGGCGCAGCTGGCGCGAAGGGGGCAGGTCACGTACACGCCGCGGGCTTGGTTCCAGCGCTGTGCAGCAGAACTGGGGTGCCGGTGGGAAGAGGCTGCGGCCGCGCAGAAAGCTGCTAAGTGCAGGTCCGGTGGGAGAGCAGGTAAGTGAGGAGGGGCCTACGGGGAAAGGAGCCCCTGGGGAGGGCAGAGGAGAACACTGCCCCAGGCCAGGGCATCCCGCTCCCGCGCCCACGCCCTCCCCCTCCCCTTTCCCCTCGCGGTTTATTTTTCTTGCCGCACAGACTATAATAACTTCTGAGATGGGGCCATGTCTTCCCATTTTATCTCAGTATCCAGCACGCTGTAGTGATGTGTAAGCGCTTAATACATCATTTGTTCAACGAAAAAAACAAACGAATGAATGAAGGCATGAATGAAGGAAACTCTGGGTCCAAGACTGGTCTATTTTTAGATTCTAGTTACAGACAGTCTTTCTACTTTTCTCCTTATTTATCAAAACCAACTTTGTGGTTTTTTTGGTTTTTTTTAAGGTGTGTCCAATTCACTCATCTACAAAGCTTTTATTTAGCACCTACTGTATAACTTTTGTACTGGGGAGTTTACTGACCCTGAGGGAACTCGGTCTCTGAAAACATTCTTAGACTCTATCAGTGCTCTAAAACTCAGTTTCTAGAATCCCAACAGACATATAACTAGGAGTAGAAAAGAGCCAGTCTTTCTAACTGAGCATCCTTGTAAAATGTTTTCCCCCTATAATGAAATGTACTCAAGAATGACGAGCTGTCAATAGGTTCTTAAGTTTTCAACCATCTCTTCAAAAATCCAAACCCTGGGCCACATCTCCCTGTCTGCCCAAACAGGTAATTATACTTTGTGTATTAAAGTCTTGTATCTTTGACCTATCCAGTGCACAAAAAACAGTTTAACCTTTAAACCAAGTCATGTACACCATTTTACTCCTAGAAGGATGAATTCATGTTATTCCGTCAAATCAGTATCAACCTGACCTTTAAACACATCAGTGTTTCTTGGGAAAATATTATGGCCGGGACGCCTACCGAGGTAAACAATATTAGCTGCTCCTACCCAGTGGAGAGCCGGATCAGAATATGGGGGTGGAAGGCAGCAGGGCCCAGACAAACTCCACAGGATATGAAGAACAATGTAAGTGTACCAGAGTTGGCAGATATATTTCTGTATTACTGTTCCAGAGATAACAGCTAAGGTGAATCATTTCCCACCAGCTACCATTCCAAATTATTTCAAATTCTGAAGGGACCCTATTTATTTCATTGGTAGCTAGCAATTTACTTAGCTGAAGATCATTATATTTATGTGTCTGTGAAATCCTCACAATAATTACACATTTGAGCTGTCTCAGATGTGCCATATGTATTCTCATTAGTCATATACTTGGAAGGATATTATCACATTTTTGTAGTAACCTTCACAATGTACATATAAAGCGCCCAACTGGATGTGAACTTCGATTTTCATGGGTTTCTTATATATCAGATTTATCAAACAGCAGGACAGACTGCATTCACATGCAAATGCTTACTGAAGGCTGGGAAATTGTCTTAATTTCTCTTTTCTCTAGATCACTTTGGTGCAGCAGCCCTGGAAGATATTGTATTGGGCAGCAGGGAGAACAAACTTGGCTGAGATCTAAAATTATGTTAGGAGCTTACCAAAAAGTTTCCTAATGGGAAATATTTATAAGGCAGTATCTTCTTTCCCAACCATAAAGACTCTGCAGGATAAGGACGAGAAAGGCACTGGAAATTTCCAGGGTTCTCAAGCAAGTGTCCTTGGGCTGAATTCCTTGGACACCATTTATGAGGCTGGTGGGTTTATCTGAAAGGTCTACTTTGTCATTTTAAAGTCAGAAATTATGAGAGGGAACAGACCGACCGCCTGGTGGCTTTGCCTGTCTCTGCCTTCCACGCGTTGATTTCAGAAGGGCCCACTATTATCAACAAGGTGATTCTCAGAGCATCGCTAACCCTGTAACCATGATAGATGATCCTCCATCCTGAGCAGTGATTCTAAGAAGGTGATTCACGAGTCCTGTTGGAGTTGATAGTCCAGAGATGGAAGAAAGGCAAGAAACATTAGAAAAGTAAACTGATGGTTTGTTAGAGGTAATATGTGCATGGAATAAAAACTTTAAGCAAAGTAAAGGCGATCTGGAGGTGGAGGAGGGGTAGTCTGTGTGAAAGCTCCGCCCGGAGTTATGCAGTTAATGGTCTGATGCTTTGCTTTGCCAGTGGGATGCTGTAAAATGGTGTCCTGTGGTTTTAATTGTGTTTTCCTGGTTACTGGTGAGCTGAGCATCTCTTCCTATGTGTGGCAGGCTGCTAGCTGGTCACCTGACATGGGTCCTTGTTTTCCTGGGTACAGTTAGACTACATTTCCCATAGTGCTATGGCCTGGAATGAAGTTCCAACCAGTAGAACGTGAGCAGTAGTGTCTTCACCATTTCCAGGTTGAGCCCCATGAAAACCTCTTTTCTTTTTCCAGCTGCCCAGTTCCTAGGGTAACTTGGGAAGTCCCCTACTGAAGATGCAGAGCTTCCAGCAGCGTGGAGCCCTGCAGGGCTGTGGGGAGCAGAACCTTGCCCCGTCTCCTCACCTGCCCAGGACATTGCCCTGTCTATATGAGCAAGAAATCAACTTCTGTGGGGCCTCCATTACAGCAGTAGCAAGCCCTTGCTAACTAATCTGTGTTTATTGGTTATTTAGTTTCTCTGTTCTGAAGATTGCCTGCTCAGACCCTTTGCCAAACTTCAGATGGGGTTATTTCTTCTTTTTAGTTTATCTGTAGGAGCCCTTTATACTTTTGCTGTTTAAAGTGTAGTCAGTCTCTGGGCCAGCAGCATAAACATCACCTGGACCTTATTAGAAATGCAAAAATCTCAGGCCCCACCCAGGCCCATTCAATCAGAGTCTGTGTTTTCAAAAAACCTGGTGATTTCTATGATCATTAAAGTTGGAGAAGCACAGCCTCCCATGTTTTGCACTAACTCTTTATCTTTTATATGCATTGAATTAATTGTCTTCCAATCAGTAGCTATCTTGGCATTTGGGGTCTCTATCTTCTCATGCACAGATTTAAAAACGTTTTTTTAACATTGTGGTATTTACCAATATTTTATTCTACGGTTTGTCTGTCCTCTTTGTCGTTGTCTCTTATATCCTTCTCTTCCTAAGATCATACAGATATTACGATCTATTTTCTTCTAAAAGTTTTAAAGTTTTTCTTTTTCACAGATGGTTCTTCCACCTGGAATTTATATTTGTCTGTGGTGTGCCATATTGCTCTCATTTAATTTTTTCGTATGGGTAACAGTTACCCCGGCACCATTCACTGAATTATCCATCCAGTCCCTACTGATTGTAATGCCCCCTGCTTGAAGGTCCTCTGTCAAGTTTCCATCCACATGCGGTTCACGTCTCTGATCTCCCTGTTGGAATTTTTCTGTTGTGTAACCTGCTTTTCTTTCACTTAACCATATAGTTCGAACATTTTGTCCACATCCTGAGGTTCTTTCATAATGAAAATTTTCATGGCTGCCTAGCATTCTGCCATATTTCATTCTGTGAGACAGTTACGCTGTTTTCAGTTTTACTCTGTTGTAAATAACGCTGGGGTGGATACCTATCACACGATCTTTGTACACATGCCTGTTGATTTAAGATACATTCTCTGGGCCGGCTTAGTGGCGCCTTGGTTAAGAGCTGGCTTGGAATGCCAGCTATGAGCAGCAGGGACCTGGATCGGATCCCACATATGAGGGCCAGTGACACTGCCCTCTACAGCTAAGATGCTGAACAACAGCTCGACCTGGAGCTGGGCTGCCGTGAGTCGCCGGCGACGGCGTAGGCTGCAGTGAAGCTGCCTTGAGTGGCTGGCAGCCAGCATGAGCGGCCCGCAGCCGGTGTGAGCTGCCAAGAACCGCCGTGAGCTGCCGTCCAGAGGCTGGCTACTGATCTGCCTCACCCAGGAAGAGCGCAATGAAGATACCAACATGGGCGAGTGAAGCGACGTCCTCCACAACTAGACTGAAGAACAGAAGGACATCAACTTGTCTGTTCGCCTTCCCCCGATTCCCCAGCGCTGTTCCCCTACTCCAATTCCTCGATAAAAATCTTAAAAACACACAAACAAAAAAGGATACATTCTCTGAGTAAAATGACCAAGTAGACATATTTGTTAAGCATTTGATAAATATTGCCAAATTTCACTCCAAAAGAATTGTACCAATTTATATTCCCACCTGTTTCCTTCCAACTTCCTCATTATTTTAATACCTCAGCACTTAAATCCCAGCCAATTTCACCAGAAATAAGGAACACAGTTCTTGTACTTCATGTGCCTTTGATTATAACTAAAAAACATTTTTCACATCTTTATTGGCCTTTTCTTTGTACTTATTTTAAAGTGTGTGAGAGACCATCCTGTTCTAAGCCCATTTTTGTGTAGGTGTGTGTCTTTTTCTTATTGATGGAGAAAGTTCTTTGTACTCGTATGTGAAGAATGACAACTCTTGCTTATGTATGTTGCTTTTTTTGTTTTTCAGTTTGCACTTTACCTTTTACTTTTGCTTATGGTGTTTTGCAATGTGCAAAAGCTTTCAGTGTTGGCATGGTCAAATCTAGCTAGGTATTTCTTTAGTATTATACTACAACAAAAAAATAAATCCTACTCCCAAATTATTCCGTAATGTTTTCTTTCAGTTCTTTCAGATTTTGGTTTTCACGTTTTGCTGTTTAATTAATGTGTTAGTTACACTCAACCCTCAGGGAGCAACTGTGTTTTCCCTGATTTCTCTAGCTTGTAAGATCCCCCGTTATAGGCGGATGGAGCTCCAGCTACCTTCTCTCTTAGTACTTTTCACGCTGGCCATGTTTTATGAGTGTGTGATTTTTCACTAATGTCTGCGTCCTACTAGACCATACAAGCCCCTTGAAGGTAGATACGGCCCTGTCTCTTTTCCACTGCCGTGTCCCCAGCACT